CCCACTGCTTAAAGTAGCATTGTTATTTATAGATATTACATGAAGTCTGATGTTATGTTTAAGTGAGCGTTAAACAGTTCAGGCTGTTGTATTGTTGCTACGCACCGGAGAACCTCTGTCAAAGTGACTTTGGCACCACCGCGTATCCGCCTTTCTCCCTTTGTCTTCCAAACCTTTCACCAGTGTTTGTAGTTATCCATGTGCTCAGCGATGGAACAGCCTATTGTTAGACTAACGAGGGCAAAGTCACACTGGGATTTTTAAAAAAAAAAAAAAAAAAAAAAAAAAAAGCCAATTCTTTACCTTGCCTAAAAGATTGTTAAATATTAAACTAGCCATACCAAGGAGTTTAGTGAAAGCAAACACCGTGGGTTTGCTAAACTTTTAAACCTAATAAAGTAGAAAGTTAATGGTCAGGTACAGATTGTTTTCTGTTTTAGAAAAAAACCCCACAGCAATGACAATACATCAGTGCAAATCAACAGTGCTTTAGAATGTTTAATTAAAGAGAGCGAAGGTGAAGTGAAGCCTGCAAAACTCCAAAATCTGGCCTCAGAGATCTTTTCATGACTTGCAGAGAACCCAAAATTCTCTGGCACTTGGGTCAGAATAGCTCCTGCTGGGGTGTATAATTCTTATAAGTTATTTCTTTCATTTATTAACTGTATTTGTTCATTATAATTTTAAATCTTCAGACCACCACAGAGGTTGCTGTGCTTTGTCCTGTTTCAAGCAACAAAGGTGGCAACCAGAAACTATGGGGTGAGATTGTGTCATGAGGAAGCTGGAGTGATTTCCTTTCCCATTCCCATGCAGTCATTACTCACAATTAAAAATGTGCATGCACAAGACAGATCTCGGGTACCAGGGCATCTCCCCAGCGCTCTTTGGGAACAAAGCTACTGATCACATATGTAAAATTTAAAAAGCAAAGTGTAAAACATAAACCACAGGAAAGCTCAGACTGATTGCCAAGAGGTGAGAGGTCTTCACTTAGATTGAGTGTAATGATTTGGACCTACCTTGGCACTACAAATGTGCCCTGGTAAAATCTTTTTACTGCAAGAAAAAAACCACCTGCATCAGTTTTCTGGGCCTGATGTTTTTAAATCAAGTGGTTGTGTTTCAATCAGAAAGATTTCCAAGAGAATAGGGAAGAGAAAGCAGAGGAGTAGAGTACATTAACTCACAGTGTCCCCTTCCTCTCTACAGTAAAACCATCTCATCCAGTACAGTTAGATTTGCTGTTTAATTATAAAGAACATCAGTGTTCATTCTAAACAAGAAAATAGACCTAATATTTGAAATTCTCTAGCTACAAAGGTTGAGTATTGTTGGGAAAAATACTGAGAATTCATATAGATTTAAGTAGAGAGTTAATAGTGGGGGGCTTTAAAATCAAAAGCAAACCAACTAAACAAAAATGCCACCACCAACAAAAAGTGCTCTGTGGGCTGCAGTGGAAGTAAGGAACCTCTGGTAAAATTACTGAAGTGTTAAAGGCATGTTTGTGGCCTATGGAAAGACAAAAGTGGCCAATAAAAACTGTCTTCCTGCTGGTGTTCAGAAGGGAACAAGAGAGATAAAAGACTGAGGCAAATCAAGCAGTGAGAAAGGGGGAATGATCTATGGTGAACGAAAAATAAATCTAGAGAACAACTGTGGAAGGTTTACAAAGAATCCAATTAATAAATGCAGTGAAATAGATATGAAGGTACTTTACTGGTGTATATTATCCCATGAGAGGATGAATATGAAGACAATGGAAGCAGACTCTTTAGGAAATAAACTCTGAATGGAAAGAAACTTGAGTCCACTTCAGAACAGGAATAGAAGGGAATAAGACTGTGCAAGACCAATTTGACCTTAGTGTGATTACCAGCAAAGAGAAAGAGAATCCTTGAGAGAGTGCTGTGGGCACAAATTGTGAGCATGGGCAGGAGAGCTTCCTTGCTTTATGCTGGGCCCAAGAGATGGAAGAAGAGAGCATTTAATAAGATGCATTAAGGACTCACTTTCGAAGGATTTTTGAGCAGAAGGCATCTTCTTCTGTTTTAGTTCTCAGATGCTGATAGCATCTGCAATGATCAATTAGATATTGTTCCCATCATAGTAGACCAGAAAGTGACAGAAATTCACAAATGACAGTAGAAAGCCTTTTAGAACTTAGTTTTTCTCCAGTGCCCAGAAATACTCTGGCAAATACAGAATTATCTGAAGGTTTAGGGCTTATTTGTTATTCCTCCTACTCTGTTGGCATTGTGATCTCATGGGAGTCCTATGTCTGCTGAAGTTCTGGGCATTGAGCTTGAGTGCACTGTTTTTAGTGGAAGTGGAATGGGTCCATTTGCCTCTGCTGATGCCCAGCTTGGTTTTGCTTAGGTCACAGCTTTTGCTTAACATGATAATAATTTGTGTGGTTTATATTATGATTATTTATATTATGATTTGCTTAAAAGAATTTTTGTTTTAACATGATTGACTACCTCTTTCTCTCATTTTTTTAGTGTTTTAAATAACTCAGAAATGACTGATCTAACATCTTTGTAGAGAAGGTTTACATAGACAAATTCTTCTTCTGGCCAGTAGTAACTTTGAAGTTAGGTAGTGTTCAGAAAAGCATCATTCATAAAAACAGCATTAACGAAAGCTGTAATGAGACCAAAGAAAAGGAAACAATTGTGATGTTTGTACTTTTTTTTTTCCACTTTAAGCAAGCAGACAGACTTTTTTTAACAACTCAGTGCAAACAAGCTAGCTGATGTGTCTGAATGGGCTTTGGGATTCAGTAGATAAACAGAATTTTGCAATGCTGCAATTTGATTTATGGCAAAAGGAGTCTTCAAACAGTTTTGGTTTTAGTGTGTATTGCTGTCTTGTCTTGAAATGGGATCCGAAAATTGGAAAGCCATGTGTGATGACAGAGGAGGAAAGTGCTATTAATCAACACTACTTTTGTTCGTGTCTTCAAAGCTGTTCTGCCACCTTTTTCATTTTTATCTGTTCCTAGGTTTTCAGCTTAGCAGACATTTATCATATAAAGTGAACTACAGTAGCAGAGTGACTTGTTCAAGATCAAGTGCTTCTATTCCTGAATTCTTTCTGCTCAGGAATGTTGAATGTTTTAAGAATAAGTGTTATTTTTTTCAAGGCATTGCAAATTAATTAGTTATACATTAAATATAATGAATAGTCTTGTACTAAAACAAAAACAAACCAAAAAGCAACCCTGATGGACCGTTATACTTGTTGCTGCTTCAGATTCTGAAAAGGATCCAAAAATATGTCAGTGTTGGAAATGACCTGGTATGAGAAAATTTAATGAACATTTAAACAAAAAAAAGTATATGAGTATATCGCTTATTTATACATAGAAAGAGTAAGCAAAAGTAGGTATTGAGCCCATATCAGCAGGTTAATACCAAGAATAATTCTAGTACAAAAGTGTTGGTTTTAAAAAGGAGTACTCTTCCAGCTGTGTTGCCTTAGCCTGTGCATGGGTAGACGAGAGGGTTGTTAACTAAATTTCATGGTACTGTTTTGATTAAACTGTGTAGTGCTTGGCTATCTTATTTCTGTAAATAACACAGTATTGGCATTTCTGCTAGATTTTCTGTGGATTCACTTCTTCTCTGTGAATTAGTATGCCACTTTTGTTTGAGCAGGGAATGCATTGTTTTGCCTGAAAGGTATTTTCAACTTTTCTGTGGGACAGAGGCTGATCAGCATTACATTAATGGAGATAATGAGAAAGAATTTTTCATCTTTTCCCTGGAAGATGATAGGAAGAATGAGAGAGGATGAATAGCACAAAGATTACCAGCTCCACAAACTAGTTTTTTTGCAAAGCTACATACCAGTGCCTTGAACCTGGTGTTGGAGAGCTGCATCATTGCAGCAGAAGCATCATCCTGCGCTGTCTGATGTCTCAGTCACTGCTTCATTGTTTGTCTCTGAGTTTCCATTCAAATCTTAATTTCACTTTTTGATTTACAAGGTTTAGCAAGGCTACACTAAAGCCAAGACACCGAGTAAACACTCATGATTTCTTTTGCCTGTGGTTGCAAACAAAAGGCTATGGAAATGTGGGGTTTTTTGTAACATACTTGAAAAAGAAAAAGGTATCTCCACTTGACAGGAATAACTGCTCCCGTAAACCCATGTTGCTGTAATTCCTACGTTACCAAGGTACATACATCAGTAGAAGAGAAAGAAAAGCAGAATACTGTTTGTTTCTTCATTACCCGGGGCAACAGAATCATCTGTGCCTTTCATTTTTGTAAATGCATTTTTCGAACTCCACAAAAACCTAAGTCTATTCTACAACTCTAAAAACCTGAGTAGACATGGAAATGTGTCTTGTATACACTTCGGAAAATGTCAGTGTTTTATTTGTGTCATAACTTTTATAAGGAGGATGTGAACAGGACCTTTGGAGTGCTTTAGATTGGCAGAATCCAGTGATCTAAAGTAGTGTTTAATTTCAATTTAGAAATATATTTTCCTTATGCAGTACTCTATTTTAAGTTCCTGTACATGTTGTATTGAATGTGTACTCTTGTTTAACCTGTTAGTAATGAGGTATGATCTATTGCACTCACTGAGAAATGTTTTGAGTAGGTATGTCATACTCTCCTTCCTCTGTTCATACACTGATATTCTTGGCTTCAACTTTTCTATCTAAAGCAAAATAATGCCTTCACAGGTTGTATATTCTTTTGCCTAACTTCTTCAGCATGTTGAGATTTGTCCACTACTTCTACAAGTTAGCCAAAAGCATTCTGTGTTATTTCACAGACATTTCATAAAATAGGTAGGACTGATTTGGTAACCTAATGGCAGAGGAGGGGGAAATAAGTGGTTTTTAATTTGTTCATTTGCGTAGGCAGGTATACACTGGACAAAGATGTTAGGCAAATGTTATTTGTTGCTTGTATTTCAAATTAATTTACTTGGTACTAAATGATGGTCTTCTAAATGCTTTGGCACTTTCTCCCCAGCTCCTGCCAGTGGATGGACGTCAAACAGTATTAAATCACCTGGAACAACTGCCCCGAGTGAAAAGCCTGACACAGCGCCCCAGCTAAATGAACAAGACACGTTGGTTCAGAGAGCAGAGCATATTCCAGCGGGAAAGCGTACTCCCATGTGTGCACACTGTAACCAAGTCATTAGGTTTGTACCTGTCTGCTGGCTGCACTCTTCACTGGGTACAAAACCGGCTGTATGGCCAGGTCTAGAGAGGGGTGATGAATAGAACTAAATCCAGTTGGTGTGTGGTCACTGGTGGTGTTCCCCAGGGCTCTGTATTGGGTTCAGTCCTGTTTAATATCTTTATCAATGATCTGGACTGGGATTGAGATGACCTGTTAGTTTACAGGTGACACCAAATTGTGTGGGAGTGTTGATCTGTGTTTGGCATTGCTGAGGCCACACTTCAAATCCTGTTCTTCAGTTTTGGGGCCCGCACTACAACAAAGACATTGAGGTGCTGGAACATGTCCAGAGATGGGTAATGCAGCTTGTGAAGGGTCTGAAACACAACTCTGATCAGGAGGAGCTGGGGTTGTTCAGCCTGGAGAAAAGGAGGCTCAGGGGAGACCTTATCACTCTCTACAACTACCTGAAGGGAAGTTGTAGTGACGTGGGGATCGGTCTCTTCTCCCAGATAACGAGTGATATAGCATGGCCTCAAGATGGGACAGGGGAGGCTTAGGTTGGATATTAGGAAAACTTTCTTCACCAGAAGGGTTGTCTAGCACTGGAACAGGCTGCCCAGGGAAGTGTTGGAATCATCGTCCCTGGAGGTATTTAAAAGACATGTAGATGTGGCACTTACAGACATGGCTTAGTGGTGGGTTAATGATTGGACTTGATGATCTTAAAGGCCTTTTCTCATCTAAACGATTCTGTGGTTCTGTTCATCCTGAAGGCTCTCTCACAGCAGGACTTTCTCTTGTTTTCGTGGTTTTTGAGTCTTTAATCACAAGTATTTTAAGGCTTCATTTCAGTAGTGCAGAACATTTTTTTTTCATGTGTAGTTTCTCTAACAAAAATGAGAATACTTCGGAGGAAAAATATTGCAAACTGCTAACAGTCACAGTCTTACAGCCCATTTTACAGAGAACCAGGAAGCTGGGTGTTACAAAGTAAAACCAAACAGAAGTAAGCAACTTAGTTTTCACTTATCCACCCTCTCCTGTAGAATTGGGAATATTACCTAATTGAAAACCAGAGAGTATAGTCTTATAAAGACTATTCACAAATGCTGATTTAGAAATCATGATTTCTAGCTGAGAAGAAGAAGAATAACAGGCTCCAGCCATACATGAAAAGCGTGGAATGATGTTTTAACATTTACTAAGACTGGATTAATAATAATTTCCTGCACAGCTAGATTTCAAGCTCTTTGAGGGGCTCTCTGCCTTTGGATATTATGGTAGCTACTGTCCTTGACTTGTATGACAGGGGTAGAAAATATAAAGCAACACAAACACAAGTTTGCCAAATGACATTAAGTTAAATAAATTTTGCTGAGCCCATAAGATATTTTATTGTTAGTCAGAATTCCATATGGAGGAAAAATTGAATCTGGGTTACATGGGTCAGTCAGTGATTTCTGACAATTAGTCATGATTGTGTCATCCAGGGAACTGTAATTGTTTTTGCTGCCAATGTGCAAAACATCCTCATTTTCATCTACTTCACTTTTTATTTCTTCTCAAAAATAGAGATCTCCTAGGATTACTGGAAGAAATATACTCTTTAAAAGTATTTTCTTTTTGCTTGTTCAGTCATTTTATTGTTGAACTACAAGGGGAAAGTAATTCTTTAAAGTATTTTGTTGTATATTTATCTATGCCCAGTGTTTTCAGTGGACAAAATAGGAGATCCTGCACCATGGGCTTTTGTACCCTCTTGAGCCCTGGCATGGATTCTACATCAGAAGCAGCAGCTAACACAAATCACTTGATCTCCAGAGTTCAATTGAGTCCAGCTTGTTTGCTTCCATTAGATTTCTGTCTGATAGCTCACTACCAGTCCAGTTAATACTGGGTTAATTTTAGAACACTCTTTACTAATGGACCTGTGATGTTTCGGAGAAGTTATTCCTACTTCCAGTGTGATTGTTGAAGAAATAAAAATATGTTATCTGAATCCCCATGAAACAATAGAAGAAACTTATATGAATTCCCAATACAAATGCACCTGTGCATCGTAATCCAGTTTTCCTGCTTTCTTGCAAAATGAAAAATTACTATGAAAAAGGTATGCACACTTTTGGGATGAGATTCATCTGATTCCTTGAAGAGTTTGCCCTGTATAATAATTCTGTCTTTAGTATGCTGACCTTTTTTTTCCCTGGGCTGTGGATTTGTGTCTAGAAAATAATATGCAAGCAACGATTCACTTTCCTTTTTATTACAGTTATTTTAGTTTAAAACCAAACATATAAAATTGACTATGTGCTGCATCTTTCATACAATTCCATTGCCTTTTACATTCCTTCATGAATTTCCATTGCCTTTTACAGCACCAGTGGTTTAGCAGGGTTTGCTTATGCTCTGTGCTGTGGGGTCTCACAGCACAGCCCACAGATCACTCCTGAGCAGTCGACCTCTCCTCTTGGCCTTTAAATCACTCTCTGCTACTCCTCACTTTCCCGCTTCCATCACCATTAAAAAAGAGATGAGCTGCTGCCCTGTAAGTAGGGGAGTGTATTGTTCCATGGAGCAACAGTTACTCCTTAGTGGATACATGAGGAGAAACTGCAGAGCCCTACTTGACAGTACTTAAGCCATTGTCATCTATTGTAAGTGACACCTTTTTCAGGAATAGCAACTGATACCCATGTCTAACTTCTTTGTAATTTGCTGGCGGTGTTTACATTCTTCATATGTTAAATGCCTACTTGATAATTAAAAGCAAACGTTCTTCCATTTGAGGATGAGTTGATGTGCATTAATCAATGCCAAATATGCCTCATGTTTGCAGCATACAGTGAATTTGGAAGATTGCAATGGCATTTTAATTCAAGTTTTAGCATAATTACACTTCATGCCCTCAGTGGTAGTATTACCTATGAAAAGGTAGGAGGAGGATCAAGTGACATTACATTGTACATCTGTTTTGAGACCAAAATGCATTCTAGAGTTGGTTACTTAACACTCGGGCATAGAATAACTATGGCTGGTTGAGCCAAAACCTTTCATAGAGACACCTTATAACTTTTTAATATATCTTTAATTATTCATTTCGTGATTGTCTGAAGGTTTCCTTTTTTTCCAAAGCTACATTAAGTAAACTTTTCTTTCCATGTATAATCAAAACTGGAGGCAAAATAAATTTCTCCTGATCTACTTGCTGTGAAGATCTGGCAGACTTCTGACATTTCCTGATAAAGACTTCTGGTTCCCAGGCAGTCTTACCAAGTTCTGCACTATGGAGTTGGCTCTTTCTTTGAAGTCCAAATGTGTTTTCACTGGATCTCCATTGAGAACATACTCTTTGGCATGTCTGCTTGTGAATGATGATTTGGTTTTCTACCTTTTCATAAAGCTTAATTGTTTTAAAAGGAAAAAGCAAAAAAGTACAAATGGTGCTCCCCTTCAGCATCTCCTATACACAAATTGTATACTCTGACATTTTCAGGTGAGGAGAAAAAGACAGTTCCAAGACTATAGACTGCTGTATGGTTGAATGTAAAGTGATTGGCCTACCTGCCAGATGTGGAAATCCTTTTGATCTCTCTACTGCCAAATTTCAGTTCTGGCTTGCTATCGTAACACAAGCCACATGAGAAACTAGATTATTGGCATACTAATATAACACATCACGACCATACTGATGAACTTATATTTAGCTACAAGTGTAAAGACATTGAAATTGCACTTTTATTCCCTGTATGTTACTTCTCCTTCCAGTTTTCCCCAGTATCATTGCTACATGCAGAGCCCAGATGTTTGAGGTGACTACTAAATTTCTGTACATGGTGATCCTTTAGGGCATAAGATTCTGTAAATACTCTCATAAATAAATCAGAATCCCTTTTAAAAAATAATAAATAAATGACTAGCTTTTTTTCACCTGTGAGTTCATTTCATGTAGTATGACCAGAAGTTTTTTCAGAAATGCTTAGCATGTCAAAGTAGCCTGGGATAGAAGCATATCCATAGCCAACTGTTACCAGTTGGGTCATCTCATATCCCATGTGGATGGTAGGAGCATGGTTTTTTAGCACTACTTTTAAAAATATGTTCTGGTTGACAGAGGCATGTGGGATTTTTATTGGGTTTGTTTTTAAATGGGGAAGGAATGTTGAAGCCATCTGCAACCGTCTTCCTAACACTTCACGCCCCTATCTATTTCCTGTCAGATTGCATGAGTGTGGGCATGCATCCTCTTTACTGAAATTGGGACTTTAAACTGTTTTTTAAATTAATACAGCAAATAAATACCTTTCATTACTGGAAACTATCATTTTGATTGCAAAACTATGCTGAGACTGGGAACTCCTCCAAGTTCTGAATATCATGTTTTAGTGTGTTTTACGTGGCAGGTGTTGTTTTAGTTTGGTTTTTCTTTTTCCTTTCTTCCACGTGCTCTAGGGCAGCTTTTAGGTTGCAGGTATCATTAAGCTGCAGTATCAGCTTGACATGTTTAAACTACGGCCTGATTGAAAGTAAAATTGTATTTAGGAAGTGTTCTTCTGGACATGTGTGCACAGGGAGCCAGTCCGCTAATGGAACACCTCATAGACATTGTGCAGGGCACAGCCACAGCTGTCTGGAGATTTTGGGAAAGGAACTCTGTAGGTGCACTCTCAGGCTGTTCTCCATCCGTCTGGGTTCCTGTGCACTGTCCTGAATGGCTAACCTCAACATGTCAGGGCTGTAAACTCTGGAGAGCTAAATGCAGCAGATGTAAAAATTCCTTCCTCTCCTGTTGCTAGCACACTTGCTTTCCATTGCAGAGCTAACTGAGCCTATCATTTCGGTGCAGATGGCCAGAAACTCAATACTACCTAGAGCCGGGAGAGCCTCTTTGGTGTCAGCCCCGTGTTAATGAATCTGTTAAATTAGCCTGTGCTGACACGGCGCACTGAGAGCACTTTGTTGTACATAAGGGCTTGTATTGTTTGATCAGTACATAACTGAAAGGGCATTGATGTAAAAAGGTGCTTGTAGAGCAGTGGGAGGGTATCGGGTTAGGTCAGTGTTTGCACTGCTCAGGCATCCGCTGGGAGCGGGGGGCTGGAGAGCTGGGCTCAGGCTCAGCTCCCTCCTTAAAGGGCTACAGGCTGCTCTCCAGGAGCTGTTTTTCGCTGCGTTCTCTCCAATAATCAGAGGTGAATAGAAGAATTAGTCTTAGATTACATATATGTTCATCATCTTACAAGGTCTTTGAGTTTTCCTAAATCTGTTTGAGTGCCTTGTTTTTGACTTCTCATCCCGTTAAAAATACATGACGTTGCCAGAGAAATTGGAGAAATGAAAGTAATTACCCTCTACCCTTAATGAAGGTGCCCTCTGTTCTCACCCTGCTTGTATTCCCATCTTGGAGTCAACATAAGCAAACTTCAATGTGTTTTCTTGGGGTTTTGTTTGTTGGTGGTTTTTTCTTGTTTGAGTGTGGTTTTTTTTTTCTTTCTTTATTGCTGTTGCTTTGTTCATATGAAAAAAATACACAAAGTGTTCTTGTAGCTTACTTGATTTCCAAAAAAATGTTTAGCAACAGATGGTGATATTAGTACCTTACACTTCTTTTTTTGCAGTGAGGTATTAGATCAGAAAAAAAAGTGATGCAATTCTTGAAAGAATGACATCTTTATTGGTCTTGCAAAACCCAGGAAATCTGGTGAGGGAGATAAACTTGAACCACAAACTTCACTTGAAACCTGAATTCTGGAAGGCTGAGTGTTGGTGGGACCTTGAAGATACCTCACTAAAGTAAATATGTCCATTAAAGAAATTAGCATGCTGAATATATTTTCAGATGAATATAGAGACAATGGTATATACTTGTAGTAATAGCACAGAGGTATTGGGGGTTAAACCTATTAGCAGCTTTTGCCACAGCCAACCTAGGAGTATTTGCTGACAATATCTCTTCTTTCTGATCAGAGGACCCTTTTTGGTGGCTTTGGGAAAATCATGGCATCCAGAGGAGTTTAATTGTGCCCACTGCAAAACCTCCATGGCTTACATTGGATTTGTGGAAGAGAAAGGGATGCTGTATTGTGAGGTCTGCTACGAGAAGTTCTTTGCCCCTGAGTGTTCAAAGTGCCAGAGGAAGATCCTTGGGGTAAGTGACCAGCAAGTGGCCTGATTTTTGTGAGAACAATAACCACAGTGTTCAGTGAGTCTCTGCAATGAAATTCTTTTTTATCTATCCCAGTCTGCATTCTTTCAGGCATACTCTTGACGTATCTTTTTAGCTCCTATCATATACAAATTGTGGGTTTGGCTCTTGTAATGTTCAACCTTTTCAACCTCTTTGAGAAAAGGTACTGTAGTCTCCTTGGCTCTTCCAAGTTCAGTTCCTGTTTTCATGAAGCTACTCTGTAGCTGTTTACCAAATTTTATGATTACCAAATTTTCTGGTTACCAAATTTTCTTGAGCAAAATGCTTTTAATTGGCAGCTTTTTACAGAATGGGGGCAGGGGGGAATAAAAAGAAATAATCCTCTTAGCTGAGCTGAGCATTGAAGAACACACTGGTTGGCTAGATGTGAAGTACTGAAATATTCCCAGTGGTAATGTAGATAGAAAGACGTGTTATCCTACTCGGCACTGATATTGCTAATTTGAGCCTGCCAGCTGATCAGCCACTGTTTTACTGCAGACAGCAACGTGTCTGGATTCTTTTGTAACTGGGGTCATGCAGGGCTCTGGCAGCACAATTCTCAAGTCATATTTGGCACTGTAGCATCTTCCAAAACAACACAGAGCAGTCATAATTTTCTATGTGATGTCTTTTGATTAACTTCACAGACTTCAGGAGAAGGTAGAGATGCTGCTTTTCTTCTTTCAGGGGACTGTTGTAGGTGAGATCCTAATTAAAATTAAATAGGTGAACAAATGAGTTGCTAAATCTGTCCAACTCTACACTGAACCTTCCAAAAACCCTGAAAGATTGCTCATGAAAAAATTAGTAGATGCACCATAAATAAAACACCTCATTAAGTTTAATGTCGCAGAACTTTTGTGCACAACTCATTTTCAGAGTAGTAGTAGGAAACAAAGTATTCTTGAAATGAATCAAGTGTGGAGGCATGGTTACCACAATCTAGTCATCACATCAAAATAATGTGTTCATAACACTTTTTCTAATCCCCACAGGAAGTAATAAATGCTTTGAAACAAACTTGGCATGTTTCCTGCTTCGTATGTGTGGCCTGTCATAACCCCATCCGCAATAATGTCTTCCACTTAGAAGATGGTGATCCCTACTGTGAGACGGGTAAGAAGCAACATAACTAAAGTTTACTGCAGCTGTGCAGGGAGGCAGGGATCAATAAGGCTGGAAAAAAAAAAGTTCCTTTTCTCAAGCTTCACATCAGAAGTACCCCAGCAAATTCATGTAACTTTGATATATCAGTTCAAAGTAGCAACAACTGCTGTAGACAACACTTCGGGTTTGCAGCAGGAGGAGTTGGCGAGAATTTCTTCATCAGCTTAGGTAGCAGCAGGCGTTATGTCACTGATTTTACCTTTTCTTGTTAAGCCCTCAGCTGTAGGTAGCAGTGATACATCAAAGCATTAATTTTAGGGTGACTTTCTGGTTTAAAATAATTTGAGGTTTATGTAAATCTGTTTATTTACTAAACACAAGCAAATGCTAGTGGAGTAATGTGTTTTACTCTGAATAGACTCATTCACAGCCTGAGGGACTTCCAAGAGAAAGCAGACTGTCCAGGTAGTTTTTTGCAGGATCAAGGATAACATCTGTTGAACATACACTTGGGATAAAAAAAACAGGCTGTCAGGAAAAATACAGTGAAACAATTATAGCACTTGAAAGCCTGATGAGCAATATTACATGAATGATGTGACTTAGAAATTCAGAGGGACTCTGGATTAGTTTTTAGCACTTACAGCTAATCATAACTTTTTTTATAGAATCATAGAGTGGTTTGGGTTGGAAGGGACCCTAAAGATCATCTAGTTCCAACACCCGCTGCCATGGGCAGGGACACCTTCCACTAGATCAGGTTGCTCAAAGCCCCATCAAACCTGGCCTTGAATACTTCCAGGGATGGGTCATCCAGCTGTTCTGGGCAACCTGTTCCAGTGCCTCACCAGCCTCACAGTGAATAATTTCTTCTTAATATCCAATCTAAACTTACTCTTTTTCAGTTTAAAACCATTCCCCCTTGTCCTGTTTCTACACACCCTTGTGAAAAGTCCCTCTACAGCTTTCTTGTAAGCTCACTTCAGGTACTGTAAGGCTGCTGTACAGTCTCACCAAAGCCTTCTCTTTGCTGGGCTGAACAACCCAACTCTCTCAGCCTTTCTTCATAGGAGAGGTGCTCCAGCCCTCTGAGCATCTCTGTGACCTTCTCTGGACTTTCTCCAGCAGGTCCATGTCCATCCTATCTTAGAAGCCCCGTAGCTTGATGCAGGGCTCCAGGTGGGGTCTCACCAAAGTAGAGTAGATGGGGCAGAATCACCTCCCTTGCCTGCTGTCCACTTACTCCTGTGATGTAGCCCAGGATACATTTGGCTTTCTAGGCTGCAAGTGTGCATTGCCGAGTCCTGTTGAGCTTCTTGTCAACCTATTATTATCAATATGAACATTTTTGTTTCTGTTGGTTTCCTAGTTTGCTTAAAACTTTCCATGTACCCCTCTAGCCTAGGAAAGAAAGAAATAATTTGTAAAACAATTCCCTCAAGATGGAAAAGAGACAAAAATGTATCAAAATTATCTGCTTTCACACTGCTTGCTGTTTGCATCTGTGTTGGAACTGTCAGTTGGACTCTTTTTATCAGTTTCCTTCTACTCTTAGGATCATTGCAGTTTAACTAGAGGTAGACATGGATTGACCAGGAAATGATTTAGCATGAAATTCTAATGACCTCTTTGGAGCTAAGATTTCCTTCTGGGCTGATCCCACAGTTGTTTGCAGTAGGGACCATTGAGAATGCTAGGTGCTGTAAGGATGAAGAAAGCAGGCAAAATTTATCTAAAATTTCTCGTCAGAGCCGCTTTAATGAGGTGTTGGCAGATACAAAAGGACACAGTAGGTTATTGCTAACTTGGTGACACAAGTAGGGTAACATGTTGCTCCTATTGAATTTGTGGAGCAGCAGAGGAAACGGGTATAAGAGGAGCATCCTCCAGTGTGACAGCACGGTGAAATTTCATCCTGAAGCAATCTGAAGCCCCTAATCCTGGAACCATTTGATGATTCAAAAATAGTACTGGAGGAATCAATAACTCCCCTTTGGGTGGAAAGCTTGTGACCGGGTTTGTTCTGTTAAGGTTCAGTTCTTGTTCCTGCCACCAAATAATCCATGTGTCACGCAGAGCATTGATTTGTGCTACTGTTACAACTCCTGTGCACAAATGTGAGTATTTCAGTACTGTGAGCAGGAAAAACTGTGATAAAATGTCAAGTATACTACGCTTCTTGCAGAGTTTATTTCTAAGATAGAAAGTTGCTAGCACAAGTTAATGTAGACACATTCTGTGAGGTGTTATTGGCAGTGATACTTTGTAATGGCTCTGGCTCTCTAACTAGATGTTAATTTGAGATATATTAATTCTTCAAAGACTTTCAGTCCAGCTGGAGTTATGAGTCTAAGACTAATTTTAAAGAAATAAGGGGTAAATGTCATTGCCAACTTTCCTGCTTCCTCCTGTAAAGGAGGGTTCTAATTTTAAATCTGTATTTGAAATTGTAACAGCATCAGCTATTAGTATTAAGGGTGTTTAATCTGAAAATGTTCTGGGTTTGGATGTCAGGGCTAAAATTAAATTAAAAGTCCAAATATCTACAACTTTGAAGTTTAAAAAGTGCAGAGTTAGTAACCTAGTTTTGAAAATGCAGTATGCAGGAAGCACTGATATGTGACCGTATGAGAAGTCTTGGAAGGCTTCTGTGGTATCGCAATTCAAGCATGCAAAAGCAAAAGAAAGCTGATGCCCTTCATTCTGCCTTATCTATTGCCCTTTCTTCAAAAGAAAAGCCAATAAACTTATCAACACAAACCACAGGCCAACTTACAAAAGGCTCTTACTTCTGGCACCAGGAAAATATCGGTAAGATTCTGTATGAACACAAAGGCAAAGACCTGAAACAGTATTGTCACGAGATCATGTCCTTCAGGGATTTTGCACAAATGTGCTAACATTTGATATTTTTATTGTCTTTCTTCTGCTTAAACACTTGCAAACTCATCCCAGTAGCATGGATTAATGAAGGTGATCAGTGAAGCTGTTTCTTGCTACTGGCAGCCAGAGGGTTTTGGTTTTCCAGAGCACTTGTGTTCCCCATCCTGTTGATATGTCTGCTATTATGATGCATTTTGAGTGACGTCATCACACAAAACACGACCTTACTAAATGAAAACAGGACTTTGCTCTTGGGCTTGACACATCTGATAATCCTCCGTTGGCCCTGCTGCAGTAAGCACTAGAGCTTCAGCAGATCTGTATAACCTAGAGAGAAACAAAATCCACTTCTACCCCTCTTCCCACTCCTTATATATCTCCTTTGAAAACAACCCCTGGCATCTAATTTCTCTGTCAGAAGCAGAGTGTTACTATGGTAGTAACACTTACTTACTGATAGATGGAGTCCAAAGCTTCATTATGTCTGTCACTCTGTAGTTCATCTTAGGAAGACATAACATTGCATGATGTGTGCTGATCCCAAATTCTCTCATGTTATAGCATGAATGCTGTTGTCTTCTGTGCAGGAATAAAATATTTCCTTCTTAGAATGGGGTGTTTGAGAGTTGAAATAAGTGAAAAAGACCAGACAACTTGAGGTGAAATTTAGGCCTGTGCAGGTGGGCAGCAAAGGAGTGACTTGCAACCCTTGAGATGGGGCAAAAGCAGTGTCACACACTAAGACTGTGGGAATGGGGGTGAGTTGTCAGTGCTTCACACCCAATTTTATAGATGTATTTTGTTCTCTTAGTCTGCTCTGCTCTCTCTTGTTAAAGCTCTGCTGTCATTGGGGAATATTAACAGTTCAGTGCCATTTGTTCTAGTTCCTGCTCCCTGATACTCCTAGAGGAGCTTTTCTCTGCCAGCTCCAGTGAGCCTCCAGTCAATTCAGCACTTAAAAATAAATGGTGCAGATACCCTTCAGAGAGTCTGGTCACTAATAACCATCCTGACACCCTAGCGATACTTTTTGTTAAATGTGATAAATATGTTGCCTAAAGCCTCTTGTTGATTTTTTTTCCTTTATGGGGGGTGTGTGTGGGGGTGGTGTTTGCTTGTTTAGTTGGTTTGGGATATTTTGTTTTGCTGTTTTGGTTTTTGGGTTTTTGTTTTTTTTGTTTGTTTGGTTTGGTTTGGGGTGATTTGGTTTGGGGTTTTTTTTGGTTGATTGGGTTTTTTTGTTTGTTTTTTAAAGCCATGTAAAGTCACTCCAGTGATTAGAAAGGTATTCTGACTTGATCTAAATTTCTAGACTCTGTTTAGGGCAGAAGCCTAATGATTACATGATTTTGAGTAGTGCAGTCTAAGGCAAATATTGTGCCAGAATGCAGGCAGGAGTTCATTACTCACTGAGGAGGTCTGTCATGTGAACAGCTGGGATATGCTTTCGAAGCAGAGTTGGAGGAAATGTAAGGAGCACATAGAGTTTGTGCGGGTGCTCTGCAAGAAGTGCGTTTCCCCCTCCCTGAGCATGCTATTGATCTCAAGGAAATGAAACACCAGGAAGATGGAAGCATTGCTCACTTGAAAGGATAAGGAAGGGGATGAGAACTGAAGTAGCAAGGAGAAAATGACATCCCAGTCTTTCGATCTAGGAGCTCTTTTTTCAGATTACTCAGCCCTATGAAACTCAGCAAGTCCAAACCTACTGCCATTGAAAGAAAAGCTCAAACTTTTCTAAGGGTCAGTCTTGCTTTTCTGAATGTGCTTTAAAATCTGTTCGTATCTCTTTGCAGATTATTATGCTCTCTTTGGTACCATGTGCCATGGCTGTGAATTCCCCATTGAAGCTGGAGACAGGTTTCTTGAGGCTCTGGGCCACACTTGGCATGACACTTGCTTTGTATGCTCCGTAAGTAAAGCTAGTCTACATTTTAAACAAACCTATGGCAGCAGTGCTTGTGCTAACCTGACCAATATGGGAGTTAACAGCTCTATCCTCCTTCAATCCCCTGGGCTCAAACAAAAAGTTATTTGGAAGGTGTGCTGCTATTTAAGTCTTTGGCATAGGTCCAAGAGAAGCTGTCCTGGATTGTAGCCATGTGTCCTAGCATTTAACCCATAACATTTACTTCTTTGGAGCAAGTGTTGAAGGTCATACAGGAATGGACTGTGTTTCCAAAGTAGCAAGAGTACTTTTGACATAAAGGCACTGTAGCCAAGATATTGCCTGCTGATATTGTATGACCAAAAAAAACCATAACAAAACAACAAAAAACAAACCAACAACCCTAACCTTAATGATGGGGTTGGGTTTGTTGGTGGTTTTTTGTTTGTTTGTTTGTTTGTTTTATGCTGAATCTAACTCTGCTCCTAGTTGGAAACCTGTTGTCTTAAAGAAAGATTATGCTTACCAACCACTAGTATTGCATCAAAAAGAGTATCCCTAAGAAAAAGGTAATTCTTATTCTTTGAATATATTTGTGCATAGAACAATACCATGATCAGGCATTCTGAATAATTGTGGTACAATTCATCCATCTGAATTGGGTGATCTTTTCTTTTTTATCCCCTTTCAGGTATGTAGTGACAGTTTGGAGGGCCAGACTTTCTTCTCCAAGAAGGACAAGCCACTGTGCAAGAAACATGCTCACTCTATCAACATCTGATGCTTGGAGCTCATCATGTGTAACAAATGTACTGAGCAGAAAGGTTAAAATGTCCATGTTCAATAATTGGTTAAAATTCTTTACATACAATTTTTCTAAAATGGAAGAGAGATGGGAAAAATTTCAGAGGGTATTGTAAACTAATTTTTCAGAGCATTTGTCATCAAGGTTTTGCTTCATAAAATGAGAGGAATCAGAAATTGCACCCAAGCCAAACAACTAGAGTGCCTTTACCCCTACACTTGGCATGATTTTATGACCACATTTATATCCGTTTCAGTATGAGAAGTGAAATATCTATAAAAATAAATACCTGATATTAGAATTCTTGGTTTTGCTGCTATTGAACAAATAAAAGGAGATTGGCTTCAGCAATCCAGATCACTTTATTGCGGTGATGTTTTCAAAGTGTGTCTAAAAGTATTGCAGCTAAACTCCATTAAAAGGAACTCAAAGCAAAAATAAGATCACATTAAATATATAATTCAAAAACTAATATTTTTTTCTGATATTCATGTCCATAAAGCCTCCTGCACAATTACATGTACCTGTGCCTTTGCAGTAAATTTCTGATGGGTTTGCAAGGGACAGAGATTTTTACAAAGAAGTTAAGTGGGCCAGTGGCTATACTGGTGAAAAAGAATAGTTTAGAAGATGCCACTTAGAAGAAAACATAAATGGGATACTCTTCCTTAACTCATTCACTATCAGAACACTGGCCAAAAAATCCTGCTGCTGAAGGTGTGTCTGACAGGATGGAAATGTCAGATCACATCTTAAGGGAACAGGGATTTACACTCTTCTGTTTGCACTTCAAGTTTTAGATAGCTTTAAGTGCCTTTCCCCTTTAAGGAAAGGGGAATTTGCACTGAATTTGCAGGTAACAGTGTTTTGTATCCAGAATGTAAGATTCTGGTATTGAATGAGGGCAAGTGCTGCAGTGCAGATGAGGACATTGTTTTTCTCTCAGTACATTCTTTACCATGTAGCTCATGAATATGTATATTGGTGGTGTGCCAGGTAGAGTACTGAAAATTTAACTTTCTTGCTCAGCTGTTATGTTATGATTTTTATTAGTTTTGGGGTTCTTTTCTCTCTTTTCTTCCAGATGTAGGGAATATATTGTTGAATAATACTATATTGAGTTAAGCAGCTCAGTACCTCTCAGATCTTGCAAGAGAGCAAAGAGATAATGCTGTCATTATGCATTTACTGTGAGCCAGGAGACCAGCTAACTCTGTGGCTTGATACGAATTTTGCATCCACACAGAGAGTCAGCACAAGACCTGTGCACCAGCTAAGTCCTAATTAGCTTCAAATTAGGGCTTAAGTGGTATGGAACAATTGCAGGCAGATATGGAAAAGGTGGTGCCCCTCTGCACAGGGTGAATTTTGCTCCAGCAGAATTGCACAAGAGAGAAGGGAGTCCTCTTGGGATCAGAACAGATTCCTGAAGGAAACTGAATTTACATGCTGTTTTATTCAGCTGAGATGTCAGAGCTGAATTGTTAGTCTTTAGTTCTCTTTCCAGTCGACATTAAAAAAAACCATTTACTGTTTTTGTTGCTGGGAGGAGGGGTGAAGGGGGGAGGGTGTCTTGATACAAGGGACAATTTTATCCATAAAACCATTGGGGAAAATCATAAAAAATCACCGTGGTTGACTAAAGCAATTGAAATGAGGAACATCAGCAAAAGAGGAGGAAAGAAAACCAAAATTGCTGTACTGAAATATGAAAAGGTATTTGGCTTTCTTGTTAATTCAGTGGGACAGGTTCACACTGTGGGGCTGTTTCACTTTATTTCCTGAAGTTGTTTTTCTTCAATACTACCATGTTTCTTTTTTTAAGTTCTGGTGGTACAGAAGAAATTTGGTAAATTTGGTAAATATTGGTAAATGAGAAGAAATTTAGTGGTACGGTATAAAGCTGTTTAAAGTGTTTACACTCTTGTAGATGTACCCTTCTGTGAGTTTGGCTGAAAATCAGAAGGGTAGAAGCAGACTGGACAAAATACAGTAATATATAAGCCAGGTTGCTTTTGAAATTAAGTGGAATGTGGAAAAATGAAACCTAGAGACTAGGTTTCAATGGGGCTGTATTGCACATGTGTGAGGAAAGAGGGTGGAAATGCACAGGATGAGGCGTTCAGTAATTTCTGCAATCCAAAACTTGCTATTTTAGTGTAGGATAGAAACTTTTAAGTTTGTCCATAAAATCCAATTAAATTTTGTTTAGTTTCATAATTTTAATTGGAATTGTATTTTTTAATCTATATGCTCCAGGGTTTGAAATTTTTCAGTTGTCAATGAATTTGAAGACAAAAGCCTGAAAGGCTCCAATAGAACTGCTTCATGTAGCTGCTTTGCCTTTTAATTTTTGCTTTTATCTATTTGTTTAAAATTTTAAAGGAAGCATAGAGTCACTGATACATAATAAATATTTAATGGCTTTACCAAATTATATAAATCAACTAAAAGGAACATAATTTTTATCGTTATTTTAATAAGTGAGATTTTAGTAGAGCACTTTATAATAATGCCATATATCTCACTGAATATTTATTACCTTTTTTTTTTATTATTATTTAGAACTATTTCATTGTGGTATCTTTGTATTTTGTTTTCTTTTTAAGCCTGCCTTTACCCCTAGAATCTTTTGGGGTTTGAGTGTGTGTATGTGTACATGTTTATATATACTTCTCTATACATGCACACATATGCACGTACATTGAGAGACATACATATATATGTGTATTTGAATGCAGACTTGACACAGCAAAAATCAGCACAGTTTCATCACCATTTGGGGATTTCATGAGACTCCCAACTGGTTTTCATACAACACAGCATAGCATTCATCTTTTGAGAAAATGTTAGAAAGTCAGGAGAGACTTGTTAGTAACATAACTACTGTAGCTTTTTGCATGCATTTTCAGTCAGAAATTGTTTTTCTTCCAAAACTGCCTATAAGAGAATGGGGCTTAACTCTGTTTGAAGGTAGAAGGTCTTTATAAGTGAATAATTGATTCACGATGACAGTTTCAGTATATTGTAACTAAATAATTCAGGATTGTGTGTAAATATAAATGCTTAATATAACAATGCAATAAACATAAAAGCAAAAGTTGAATTGTGGTTCAGTGTGTGTTGGTCTGTTCAACTGTGTACCTATTTCTTCACAGAGCTACTTGTATCATCTAGCCATGTGAGCTGCTTTGCAAATATTATTTTATGCTGATCTACTAGCTGTTTAGTCCTGGTGATTTCTTTGCTTGAGTTTAATAATCTTTGGCATAAAATTTTGGCTGTTCACATTTGCAAATTTAATTATAATTGAAAAACATAACAATATAACAAAGCAAATAAACCCTACTCAAAACCTGAAATTCTCTATCTGTCCTGAGTTATTTTGTGATTGTTGGATGTTTTCTTTTTCTGAATTACAGTCAGTAAAAGAAAGCCATTATTGTATACAGGAATAGATATAATTTTAGCTGCTCATTCTTCAGGGTTGGTTTTTGTTTTGTTTTTTTAGAATGGAGTTTTGTTTTACAGAAAAGGACCTGGGTCTCCTGTTGGACACCAAGTTGACCACCAGCCAGTGATATTCCCTTTGGGACGAGGAAGACCACTGGCCTCCTGGGTCATTAGGCAGAGCATTGCCAGCAGATTGGAGAAGGTGATCCTTCTCTGCTCAGCCTTGGTGAGGCATATCTGGAGACCTGAGTCCAGTGCTGGTCTCATCTATACAGGAGACATGGCTGTACCTGAGTAAAAAGCTAGGACGATGATTAAGGGCATGAAGCATTTTTCATACAAAGAGAGGCTAAGAGAACTGGGATTGTTCAGACCGGAGAAGAGAGGGCTCAGGGAGGATTTCATGTGTTCAAATATCTGGACAGCGGAGTCAAGAAAATGGAGCCAGGCTTGGTTCAGTGGTAGATAGTGACAGAACAACTGTGAGGATGGTCGAACACTGCCACAGGTTGCCTAGAGAGATTGTGGAGTCTCTGTACTTGGAGATACTCAAAACCCAACTGGATAAGGCCCTTGGACTAGTTAAGGTTCTCCATCTCTATAGATCTCTTCCAACCTTCTTGAGTCTCTGATTTTCCCTCTTTTCTCAGGATGGATTGAAAGACGTAAACACTCTATTGATTACTGTAGAATATGTAACAATGTAAAACTCTACATCGGCCAATTACTATTTATTTGATATCTTTATTTCGTTCCACCGCCCATCTAGAATCATTTGCAATGTTTGTTTAGAAGTGTTTAATTTTTTTCTTAAGTTGACACTGCCCAAGGAAATACTGCTTACTCTGGCAAAGATTATCTGATATTGTACTTAGCCTTGGCACCCAGCAGTCTCCACTTTCACCATGGGATAGTTAACTGTCTACTACAACATGGCCAATTACTTCATGATAATACTAGTCTGGTGAGAATCTCCTTAGCTGAGTATCTCTTAACTAGGCCAATGCACTGTTGTTTTCTACCTTTATTGACACAAGCAAAGGAAAACACTGCACACAGCTCTATAAAATTTAGAGGCAACTTTACAGAAAACTTACCTCCCCTTCAGTGTTTAGGCTATGAGCGAGACAAATGCAAGTCTATTTGCAAACATTATATTAAGCTCCAGAAGCCAAACTTTTAAAGGCATCAAGTCTGCATTTGACATTTTAATGGCAAAGGTTTGGTTTCTATCAATCACAACGTCATGTAACATTAAAATGCACCGACAAGAGAAAAAGAGAACTGTCATTCATTCATTAAGATGCTGTAATCCAGTGTAAGATTTATAGGCTTAAAACTCAATGGTGTGTTTTCACAATAAATCCACTTTCACTGCTCAGCACAGAACAAATCTCTCTGTCACTCAAAATATTTGCTGGTCAAAATGCCCTGTATGAGATCTTCAAAGGGTTTCTCACAAAATTGCATATAAATCCTTTTACCAGCAAAGGCTTAATTTAGGTTTGAGTTTTCCTTTCTTGGGACATTGGTTAATATCTTGGGCTCAGACAAGATCTTGGTTATATCAGAAACACATAGGGCCTAATTTATTATTAGCAGTCTGGTGTTAATTAGGGGGAATTACCAGAAATAGTTTGCTTGATGGAAATTTATTATGGGATCACACTTTACTGATGGCAAAATAGGAGTCACTGAAAGAGTGCAGCTCCTTCTCATAACCAACTAATTAATAAGGTGCCAAAATTCCTCTGAGAAGGTTTGGTCCTAACTATGGGAACCTCACAGAGCAAATGGTTCCTATGCAGTATTTAAAATTTAAAAGAGGAAAAGAGGGAGGAGAAAAAGCTGCCTAGCAGAAGTCTCAAAAGTGGTATGGCTTTTTCTTGAATTTATGGAAGAAAATATTTAGCTGCATTTCCAAGCTCATTAAAGAATGGCTTTTTTCAGACAGAAAAACAACATCTAGTTTATAATCTCATTTGGTATGCTTGAACTTGAGTTTCAGTTTTACTTGTGCATACTGCTCACTACAGCTTGTAATTTTATGAATTAGGCTTATAATGAGCTTTTATATTACTCTTTATTGCTTTGCCTAATGGTCTTTCTCATCATCATTTGCCATGGAAGTTGAGGGTGGCATAGATAAGAAACTGAAAAATAAGGCAAATCTCTGATCAGCCCCAATCTGTTTTGTGTATGGCAGTTTGGGGATAGAAAACTGTCTATTTTTAGGGATTTCATGAAAGTTGTGTGAGAATGGCATGTTATAATAAGGAGGAGTGGAAGCAAAAATGTCTCTTAAGAAATTTAAAATCACTATGCTAAAATTTACCCATGGCAGATTTGGAATAAAATATTTTCCATGAGATTTTTTTTTTTTTTAAATATTTAAGATGGTAGGGTATGCAAGTTGTAATAAAGCGCTTTTGTATTTACACTGGAAATACCTTAAACTAGTTAAAAATATCCAGTATTTTGGGTATGCTTTAGAAGGTTTCTTCTATACTGTGAAAATAAGGATTGTGTCATTGTGCTCTGAATAATATTCACACTTTCCATATGTGGTGGTTTTAATCTAGGCCTTCCCTGGTTACCAGTTTGTAACCAAGGAAGGGGCAGTATTCCCAGTATTCCATACATTTTTTACGTAAATCGTGGTATAAATAAGAGGGGAGAAGCCTTCATTCTCTTCTCTTCTGCCGGAGTTCGAGAACAGTGGGTCCCTGCGTTGGTCTCGTTTATCTAAGGTTGAGGCCTGCAGCATCCACTGACTTGCCACGTGGAAGCTTGGAGAGTGCTGGCAGTGTCTGCCAATCCTGCTTTCTAAGGGACGTGGTGAGATTTGTTTTACTAGTTATTTTACTAGTTCTCGGGTTTGATTGCGCATATCTATTCAGTGTCCCTTTTTGTTTCCTTTTGTCCCTTTTTTCCCCTTTCCCTATCCCTTTGGGGGGTGTTTGGATTCCCATTTGCTGTGTACATAGCATCTTAACTGTAATATACATAAAATATATTTTTATATATAACTAGCTTGGTTTTCAGGTTCTTCAATTTGCATAGTTTTTTTTTTCCTTTGCCCTGGGGGAAGTAGAAAGGGGCTGCTACTGGGGGGGTTGCGCATTTGGCAGGGAGCCAAGTCCGAACCATCACACCATAGGATCACAGTTGTTTCCTTTTCAGTACTCATGCCTTTGCTTTGCTTTTTCTTACTGCTCGGCAGTGCCATTGTTTGTTTTAAAGTATTTCAGTACAAGATAATCCTGTCAGGTGTGTCACTTATTTCTCTTTGTGATGCATCAATGAAATGTCAAATGTTCCTTTGGTAAATATAAACTTGCACTAAATTTTGGCACTCTTTCCAAAGTGTCAAGTTTTCCCACCCAGAAGTTTCCGCTGGAAAAATAACTCGAGATACTAGACCAAAACAGTAATTATATCCCACATAAAGTCTTTATTTCCCTTGAAATCCATTAACCAAAAGGAAAACATATGAAGACAAGTGTAGGGCCAAAATCATTGATACCCTGAGCAGATACAGCCTCACTGATTTCAACTTATTCCTCTCCAAATGAAAAAATGCGACTGCTATCAAAGATACACTGAGTTTATGCTTAGATTTGTCCAGTGAGTAAGATCCGAATTAAATTAAGGATTTGGTCCTTGGTTTTTGCAGGATTTCCATTACATGTCACAAATCTATTTGAAGATCTGCTCTCATTTAGGCGTTAATGAAACAGTTGAGTACCATGTTACCCAGAGACAGGAACATCCCTGCAAGAAATAACTCTGCTTCCTAACTGTGTATTTCTTTACTCAAACCTCAGATGTTCAGTGTCTCCGAATGAACCATAACAGGTTACATAACAAAAGGAAAATCTTTCCCTGATACTAATCTGCCTGCTCTCACACCTTGCTGATTCAGTGAAATCTGATGAAATTTCATATGTCTCTACTCAAAGAGAACATAAAAGATTTGTATTCATCCTGTGCTTGGATCAACATTCTCTGAGAATAAAAAGGATCGTGAATTCATAAATAATTTGGCTCTGCATGAAAGACAAACTATTGGTATTTGCACTAAGTTGAGGTACTCTCTGTGGGTTTTACCCACATGAGAGTTCTTCAGCATTTCTTACCATTTATATTTGTTGTCCTAGCAGTGTTCCTTCAATTTATGTAAAGCCTTCGAAATGGCCTTTAAAGTTGGATTGAGAATTGCTCAGATGTTTCAATTTTTTTTCAGATTCACTTTCATTATTGGAAATGTTGATCATGACACTTAAAGGGATCACTCTCTCCTGCTGTGCGCAAAGAATAAATTACATTTCATTGGGTGGGATTTATTTATTAACTTATTTTATATATGGCGTCCTCTTCTTTGTACATTCTCAGCCTGTGCCTGTGGGAGGCAGCTAAGGTATAAAATAGAACAACTTAATGTCCTAGGGTCCTGGGGACCTAGAGTCTAATTGTGGACTTATACTTGGCTTTAAACAACTGCAATGAAGTTAATCTGCCGTGTGACTGTTTTTTACATATGTGGTGCTCACTGACCGTCAGTAGAGAATTACTGGGAAATTCTGACTAGTGGTGTCTGGAGAAGAATATAGGTTGGACTTTCTCTGAAAAAAATGAGTGTATATCAGTGCAAGTAAAATGATACTACGCTAAGGCTACAAAATTTTGTGTAAATCTTGCACGTTATTTTTTTATGCAAAATCAACGAGGATGGAAATCGGTAGTCCAAATCAGGTTTTTTTAATAGTAACAATGTTTTCTGTTCTGACCTTTATGTCTTCCCATGATATACACTAAGCTTCTGTCTTATTCCTGGAAGGGAGAAAAAGTGTGTCAAGCAGCAATATTTAGTTGCGTTTTCAATTACTGTAGAGACAGAAGGGAGCTG